TATATATATATATATCTATTGTGTTTAAAAATGATCCTAGGTGTATTACATACCGTGTTGTATTAAATACAGTATTACAGAGTAGTATTATACTAATTGTTTAATCAAATTCAATATTTAGTAACACACGTGAACACTGATCTCGACAAAAGTGTTTTGCAACTTCCCCCGCGACTTTCTTCTCATATCCATCCAATACATAAAACATGTAGTACTATATATTATATACTTACAATGTATACTCTCTTATGCATATCCTGTTACACAAAATCAGAGGAGGGAGGGGGGGGGAGTTTAAACGAGAGAAAGAAAGAGAGAGAGAAAGAGAGAAAAAAAAGCAAACTTCGGGTTTTGACTTCTTGCATACGCAGTGATCACTACTACTCGATCTTGCATCAATTTTGTTAACCGTGCAAAAGACGTGCGAGATTCGTGGTGGACGATGTAATCGATGGTGGTTAACGAGCCAATAGAAAGTCCAACGTTGGTTGGCCCATAGAAAGAACCGGTTTTCGATCTCTTAGCGTGGGCGTGTGATCGACTCGGTAAATGTCTGACCCTTCTCTCTTTCTATATATTTTTTCTCACTTTAACACATATAAATAAGTACAGATATTTATATACAAGCAATCCTCCTGTAACATGGTTTCGATATAACACGGTTGAAAAATTGTGAAATGCACTTTTATAAGACGTTGTTACTACTCTATGGGAAAGAAAACACGGGTTTTAATATGAGATAGGTATAATATAAACATTGCACGTGAATTGTGATACATGAAATATAATGTTTTAAGATGGTAAGGAAAATTGTAAAATGGGATTTTTTTTTCTTTTCTTCTTCTTCTTCTTCTTCTTTTGTAACGGTGTATTGTGAGAAGGAAGAGATGATTTTTATTTAATATAATACTGTATACACATTGTGTTTGCATGCTGGATTTTATTAAATTAGTATATTTGCGTATACTATATGTTGTATTATTAAATATGGTAAATTGTATTTTTGACCAAAGGTTTAAAAATTAATACAAGGGATAACGCGTATAACTGAAATTAGATGTATATATTACTTATACAGAAATATAGTATTTTTTAATTTGATATACTCATTATATTAAATATAATATTTTACATCTACTTTGTATTATATTAAAAATCATTTTTCTTGTTGTTGTTCAGAGTAGTGTGTTATACAAGAGCCTCAAGTTTGTATCTTAAAATCATTTAATATTAATCTTTTAATTAATGAACGTTTTTATTTAAAAGCACGTCAAATTTTCACGCAGAACGAAATCTCAACTTTCCTATTATTCTGAACTATAATATCAACATAGGTATATCTTATAAACCCATTTTCCATATAACCCAGGAACTTATTCATCTAATTTGTATTACTTCGTAAGGTTCACATAACATAGCTCTAATGTAACCTTGTACAAACGAATCTTGTTATGAGATTTTCTTGTAACTTGTTCTCCTATCTTGATAATATTATAAAACTTCTTACCTTGTTTTTGAACAATCACCTCACGTTATCTCTCGTCTTATCTGTTAAAAAACACAAGTGTATTATAAAAATGATTCATTGCAAATATTTAAGCATCCATACAAACATACCACTTATCGGCTAAATATCTTCCTATGTTAATTCGACTTATACATAAATGTTCGCGCACTTTAATTCTTACATATGCGTTTATATATATGTGTTTTTTGTACATTTGCATTTCGAACGTTTTTTCCTTAACAATTTAACGATTCCCATACCTATGGGAAATTATGATTCATTCTATTTATTTTCCAGATTCTCTACCTTTTATCGTATATAATATACACATCACGTATAAGTAAATACGTGCATACATATATATATATGTATATATGTATTTTAGTACATAACATACGTGTTCGTTTTTCTCGTAGACCTCGCAAGCAAGAACTATACATGAATTGTGCAATGCACCTACCAAGCTACCTACCAGTTTGTCTTTGCTGAGAGTTTCCTTTAATACATGACATACATATATCTATATCGATAATACATATATATATATACCTTTGTATAAGTATTTGAAACCGTTCGCAAATATTTTTACAATTCTCGGAAAGAAGTACCTTTTTATATTCTTTCTCTTTCATTTAATATATTTTTTCAATTGACGTCATCGTCGAAATATCTTCTCCTCGTGTCTTGTATAAAGTTAATAATTATAATGATTACGCGCGTATATATTTCTATATTTGGATTGTAGACAAAAGTTTCTTCTTCTTCTTCTTCTTCTTATTTTAAAAAAGTTCTTTTTTTCTTTCAACTCGTATATTTCTCTATCCACGCGCAGTTTTCTTCGAATGAATTTTTTAAATTTATTTCTTTTTTTTCTTTACGAAGAAATTTGTTCAAACTTTCTCCCTCGATCCATTATACACACACACACACGCATACACGCATGTACACACGTATTAACACGTTTTACGAAAAATGTAAGATAATTTATAAACGTTGAAAATATTTTACAATAAAATAACGAACGAAAGAGATGATACAGAAAGTCCCGGCCAAGTAAATAACTCTTTATCGTCATTATATATTTATTATTATGGGTCTAGCATTTATGGCAGCTCTTGTAACATTATATTTAGACGTATTGTGTTACAACACAAATGTGATCGGCCAAGCGTATCCGTGTACTGCGTAAGATCGGGTTAGTTATCGATCATAGTACACCATTCGGATCTAATAATATCCACTTTCTAGTTAATCATTCTGTTGGCTACTGTCGACGCGTCAGCATCGATTTGTTCTTTTATATTTCCCGCCCCCTCCCGCACCCTCTCGCCCACCCCTTGTCACCCATATCTACATATGTACTTTATATATATATGTTACTCTCAAAGCCGGAAATCAGTCATTGCTAGTAATACCTCGGCATTACTATGAATGCAAAGAGCCTTCAGACAAAGTCAGAAATTGAAAAATTCTTCCAGTTTTTCCTAGGCATCGAACATAATACTAAAAGTGAATAGATTTTAATGAAATTTATATTATATATTAAAGTAAACTCTTTTGTCTAAGCGTAGAATACCATATCGAGTTATAAATTTAGCATGTAAAGTTCAGAAAATGTCAGAGAATGCAATGCTGTAAATTGTGCATCTTTGCTATTTCTTTGAAAAGTTTTGCTAAATATTTTTTATACTAAAAGTCAATAGATTTTAATGAATTTTTCATTTCGCAAAAGAGTTTATCGTTTAAATAACAATTGAACTGATGATAAAATAAAATAGATCCGAGATCTATGGATCTCTTAAGACGCTTTTATACAGCAATATGATTAATTTAAATGTCATGTTTGAAGTATTAAAAAAGTCGATCGAACGTGACTCATTTAGTTGCTTTAGTATCGACGAGTACTTCTAACGGCATTAACAGATTTATTACCTAACATACGAACTGGGATCGGCAGCAAACGGCCGTGCCGGTATAAATGCACCGTGAGAAACCATTGTCAGGGGATGTGTTTGATAAAAATTGACGAAAAAAAAAAACAAGAAAAAGAAAAGAATTACAATTATATTATATACACACACAGACTGTGTCCTGTCTCTTATATGTAATTTCTTTTTTATCCTTTGTTTTTTAACCAACTTTTTCTTTTTAAGGTGCAGTGGTGGTGGTGGTGGTGGTAGTGCTCTGGTAATTCGATTTAATAATCATTTATAATTTTATTACAGAGATATATATTTGACGGATACAATTTTAATTGAAGGCTTGATTATTCCTATTTTATATTACAAAGATAAAATAGAATAAATAAATAAAAAGAAAACATTTTTAGATCATCAAGAGAGGAGATGCCTTTTGTTTTGTTTTTCTTTTACAGTTGTTACATTGTTACATGTTGCTTCTTTCGTGTGGCACCGTTTTAAAGCCGAGAGATCATTAGGAGTGGCGGCCGTGTTGTTTATCTAAACGTTACTATCGCGTGTACCCCGTCCCCCAACCCCACCCCCCTATGCCCCACGCCCCCTCTCCCTTTGCCCACAAGACGATTACTTTGAAAATATATTCTCTTTTTGCTATAGAATTGCACGATGACGTTCAAACCAATTTGTTGAACGTCGATGAAAATGGCGTCGTTCGTTCGCTCTACTTCTCCGCTTTTATCGACTTTCGAAGTTTCCAATCGATGCCAACTCTTCCTGCCGAATAGAATTCCCCTTCTCCTCACTTTTTCTCTCTCTCTCTCTCTCTCTCTCTCTCTCTCTCTCTCTCTCTCTCGTTCCTTCTTTTTCTGTTTTTCACACGTGTGCAGACTTCATACGGTATAAACTCGATAAATTCGAAACGATTTAAAAGAAGTTTCTTTCTCATTTTTCTTCTTTCTTTTTTTCTTTTTCTTTTTTTCTTCTTCTTCTCTCCTCGATGTCGTCCGCCATCTTTCTTTTTTAATCACTTCTTTATAAAACATCCGCTGAAATATATCGAGTCGAAATGTTATTTATTTCTTTTCTCTGTTTTTTTTTTGTGTGACTTTATTCAAATCTTTGTTACCATCCTCGCATCACACACAATTATTATTAATAAATAAATATTGTAATTATATTATCGATTATACAATTTTATATTCTCAGAATACGATGCGCAGTCCGGCCATCTTTATTTTTAATTGCCTCGTTCAAAAAAAAGTCGCGGGAAAATCCAATCGGAGATATTATCACACGTTTGTTTCATTTAATTGAATTTTGTTCAAATTCAAATTGTTACGCTTAAATTATTATCATTATTAACAAATACATTATGAATATAAATATATATGTGTGCGGATTAAAATGAGATAAAAGTTAATATTAAATTGTAATTACACGTGTGTAGAGATAACAAAATGGTGAATAATTTAATGGATTGTGTCGGTAAATTTGGTGTTCTTCGCACGTTTTCGATGGGGCATATTGGTCGTTGGTCGTCCATTTTGAGTATTTCACGATAACTCCTCTCTGTCGGCGGGTTCTGTTGGCCGATGAAGTTCGCAACGTTGCGAAACTCGGCAACGTCGCGGCAACGTATAAAATGTCGACAAACGCGGATAAGTGGGACTCGGTTAATGGCGGTCGAGCCTCGTGGAAGTCCCGTTTCCATCACGTACAACGACCCTGTCTCGATCTTTCGGAATACGTATCCTTCTTCTTTGCTAGACGATAAGCTTTCTATGTATATATATATATATA